TGGATCAAAACTAGTAAGCATTAATCATTGCCACAGTCTATAGTTCTTAATAAACCCTACAACGACGCTAGTTATAGCCGAAAGAGAAATCAAAACAATTAAAGTAAGCAGTAAACAACTAGGCTATATGAAGAAATCTTAATGGCTATAAGTTGGAATCAATATGAAAATAGGATCACGAGAGAAATAGTTGAGATATTTTATCATCGTCTTTAAGAGAATAAATCATATTATAACCCGATAATAATAACATTAAGTCTTATTTATTACCCTTAATAGTCGCTTTAACTCCATACTTGATTCCAACATCGGACTAAAAGCAAGAAATATGAATAAGGAAAATGATGCTATAAATTGAGTAGCCACTTCTCTAAACGACCAACTAATTGAGTTATCAACAAAAACAAACTCCAGTCATCAAAGCCAGATAAATTATATTCAACGTAACCTTTACGTTCCTCGCACCACGTGGCACCGAGATTAAAAAGCCTGGGTTCCTTTCAGCGCGAGCAAGCCTTGAGACGATTTTGACAGCTGAGTAGAATGCACGAGCGCACGAACGTTTGCTCATGTCACTTCTAGCCAATGTGGCATGAAAAGATGCGTAAAATTTGACGAAATTAAATTTTATGATCAAGAAAATGAAATTAATATGAAAGCGATATAAAATTTCATTAACAAGAAAAGGATAGGGTGAGAAAACAAGCAATGAAGCAATGATCGTTAAATCTCGTCAAAATTCTCGTATCAAACTGTCATGGCGGTAAATCGCTTGAGAAATAAACAATACGCTTCATCGAATACGACTTAACGAACAACCTGCTAACTTCACATCATTGACCATCGTCAGTCATAAAACTTCAACTTTAGTTCCCGTGAATATCGGTCGTTTGGGGCCAGTTGATTATCAACTTAGGCTACACGCTCATTCTGTTACAAAATTAATATTGATTTAAATGTTCCATACCAGATGTAAGATCAAACAATCTGAAAAATCATCATTTGAACGAAAACTGAATTTTAACTATGAATTGCTTTTTGCATTATATTACAAACAATATTGAACGCAAAGAGATCAATTAAGGCAACCGGAAGTGATGCCATTTTGTTTTGTTAAAGAGTATCGACAAGTGGCTCCACCTACTTAAGAGATTGAAAATTGATAATAAGTTAAATTGAAATAAAGGAATCACGAATCATTAAGCTAAACAGTTGGACTTTGTAACAATATCATTCTCTACTTGACTTGGTATGGCTACTTAAAGTACATCACTCAGTTGCCACAAGATAGCGCTTATACCACACCTTATCAGCTTTTGATGTTGCCGCCTATCTCAGGTGTAATGAGGGTGCGGTTACGACGTACGATTCGTACAGAATCAACAAGTGTAAACCGTTTATTTCATAGAAATAACAGTGAATGATTTTGGAGTAGCGGAAAATCCGAAATAAAACGTCCATTATGAAAAGGTACTGGAGCTTTATTGTGATAGAAAATTGAGAAAATAAGGAAACATCTTGAAAGTTTGTGAAAGGTTAACCGATCCTTTTAAAATTATTAAGGGCCCAGGGATGATCAAATAACCACGAGTTTTATTACAATAATCCTATCAAAAGTTGAGTTATAACCCATGAAAAATATTGAAATATATACAGCTGATTGAGCCTAATGAACTTGTAAAACCACAAAAGGTCAAAACCTTTCATATAAAAATCAATAAGCTTTTTAATGCCATTATTCGCTAATAAATCTTAAAAATAAAAACCACTCCTTCCATTTTGTTGGAGAAAAGCTACACAGATCGAACATTCGTGCATATATAATGATCACAAGAATTCAAGTAATTCTTCAAAAATAAGCACAATTATATATTGAACAATGTGACCAAATAATCTTTATGAATGTCTATGCGCAGATCTTGCAGGTGTTCCGGAAGCATAAGAATATATACCAATCCTTATACAGGGCAATGTGTGAATATCGAACTTCTGACTTAACTTAAATAAAATCCAGATTTTAAGAAATACAGTAATTTGAATGGATGATCAAACTAAATTTAAAAATCAATTTTAGTGATTGACCAATCAGATGACTGGAACACTAAAATCTTATGTTAAGTTTACGAGGATAAGGCCCCAGGTCTCAACTATTCAAATGAAGTAACAAATTCCAAGTTTTTGCAGTAGGAAACACGAGGTATGCATCTTCAAACTTCAAATTCCCCGAAGACAAATAAAATTGTAATAAAAAAGGATGAAACAATTTGCGATTAAATGCGATATTTATATAAGTTAAGAACAAAGAATAAAGAATTGTAAGATAGGGTCTAAAATACAAGATTATAACGAGAACAAGATGAGTTAGAATAAGTCTAGAGGTCGTTCTATTTGTTTATTTTCACGACGAGGATCATCACAGACAATTTTAAACACGTTCTATTTACCCGTCTATTAACTTCCTCTCCAAAGATATCTGCCATTTGCTGAGAGGAAATTGAACAGAGTTGGAAATCATCATCTCGACTTTTCAAAGAGCCTGAAAGTGCTTCCAGATTTGGTGCCAGTATATATTATGCTTGCCAATATATGAAGACGTGTATACATGCTATTCTTCTCGAGTAGTTAAGAGATTTTGATTACTTTTATCCTAAATAATGAGGGGTTTTATTGAGGTATTGTATATATTATTTTGATGTAAATGGACGAGAAACAAAATTAATTTCCAATCACCAACATTGTCTTTAGATTCTCTAACAGCTTCTTATAACGGTTCATTTATTTATTTATTCTTGTTTATTTACATTTCTTATATAAATCTTCTTGTAAATTTCTACGCCTTTAATAATATTTCGTTTCATGTTTAACATGATTTGTGCATATTCAGAAGTCGAGTTAAGGTCATGAAACGAAAATAGGTTTGAATTTGAATAATTCTGTATAACACGATCTTATAGATTGCCGCTGTCACGTATACGTTATTTAGTGTGATTTTATGCTGCGCTTTGTTTTTGTTTTTTTAATTTTTCGATAGATACGAACGAATTGAAAACGTTTTGTTAATTTTTTTGTTTTTGAAAAAGAATATCAAACAAATAAGATAAAAAGTCAACGAAGTGAGAATTGACCGCGACACAAAATGGTCAAATCTTTCGTTTCGTTACCTTTCAAACGAGACAAAATTTTCATCTTCAAAGAAAGAAGGACGTCGAGTTGTTGTTGAACGACGGGGGTCTCTAGATGTTTTATAAAAAGTGTTGAACTACAAAATACGTTTGATTAAAGCGAGAATGTAGAGTCAGGTAGCCAACTAACTTAGTGAAAACATTGACAGTTGACTTTAATTATGATATATTAAATCTTCCAGTTGAATTACATCTCAAATATCCCATTCTTGTCAGCAGTTCATTTCTCGCTCGTTTTCATTCAAGTTTGTCGTGTTCCGGTCCGAGTGACCAACCTCGTTAACGACTGACACAAATCTCCACATGGTTTTTAATCACAAAACGAAAATAATAATTTACATTAAATTTCCTTCCAAAGGATCTACTTCTATCCATTACTCACACTTCAAATCCCGGTCTAATAAAAATTATGGTTTTAATTCAAAATATTTATGGTAAATTTCGTTTTCTTATTATGATGCTAAAATTTTAATAAAACCAGTTTTATGTGGGCGACTAGCGTGTGATTTCTGTAGAGGTTTGTCGAGTTTTAGAGTCATTTATCAAGCTCATAATTTGAAGACTTCTTTTGTCCTCTGATAATGTCATAAAATGCTGTAATGGTTGTAAAATTAGTTCAGAACCAACATATGTTAGCCAGGGTGGTTTTATGAGACCTTTATTATTCACTTTATTCGTAAACGACTTTTATATTACAAAACCGAAATACTAGTTTTAATGGTACTAAAGATGCCAGAGGCCGAAAAATCTTTTATCAACGCTTGTAATTTTTGGGTTTCTTTTTCCCTCCGTAGGAAGTTTCAGAAATTAAGTTTTGCAATATTCAATGTCTACGTCACAAGTTAATTCGACGATTAATTTTCTTTTTGCTTCATCATCTTAAATTTACGTGCAGATATACATGATTCACGTTTAATTTAGCAGTGGCTATGTGCAAGTAAAAAATGAATGGCCATTGTTAATAAGTAAATTACTATGAATACGCTCCTGTTTATCATTAAATAAATGAAAAATTATATTCAAATAGGCAATTTATTAACTTGTCGCTAAAATGAGACTCCCCATGGGGTATTTCCCGCTCAATTTAGGATGAATGCTCCTGATGAAATATCGAACAATAACGCGAGAGATTTCGGTAATTAAGGGAGTAGTTATTGAGGCGGAATAAGGTGACTATCTGGCCCCTAGTGAGATGTTACGCCAAAAGAATATCAGATAACTTCTCCCTGCTGTTTTCCCTGCCATTTTTCCACACAGAAACTCGCATAAAGTTTATCATATTGATAACTGATATACCTACTTAAAACATGAATAAAGTAACAAACAATGGGTTTATGAAATTAAATTTGCCTTCTTTTTGATCTACACGATATTTTGTACGAAGCCAGGACAAAAAGAACGAAACGAAATATATCTGTTCTGTTGACATTCTGACACGATTGTTCTATGTTTAAAAATTAGTACTTATTATTTATTCATAGATTATTAAATCTCTTAAATATTTGAAGTCGATCATTCAGAAAATATGTCATTTTAATTTAGTCGGGTTTGTTTCAGAGATCAAAAACTATAACCCTGCCGACAATATGAAAATCACATAAAAATATTCAAATTTATTTAAATTAAGATTTATATGAAAATTCATGAATACATAATCTAAATACACGTGCGTCTTAATTTATGAGATTATGCAATTATTATAAATTGACGTTTGCACGTGCATGCGTTCATCAATCATGGTGAAAGATAGTTTCTTGTAATTTCGGTGAGAGTAGCTTGCGTGCTTGAAAAGAAATTTAATCCAAAATTTGTACGTACCTTAACTTGACTTTCTGACATGCCTAATGCATAGGCTAATCTGGCTCTTTCTGGACCTGCTAAGTATTTTGTCTGTTCAAATGTTTTTTCCAGGGCGAATATTTGTTGACCAGAAAATGTGGGTCTCGTGTGTTTCTTTTTACCGTCTTTATCGACCACCATTGAACTCTGGGTTGCTGCAAAACGTGCACAGGAACCTATTAATGAAACGAAAAATTGTTCTAAAAAAAGGGGGCATCCAAATTGAAATTAATATACCATAACATAAAGTGCCTATAAATAGAAGTAACAAAATTAAAGTTCGTGTTTCGGTCCAAATGTTTCCAATACCTGAAGATACATGCTTTAAGAATGGAATTAGAAACAAACAGGGAAATTATAGAGGATTAGTTCTGTCTGATCGCTGGCTGTCCAAATAAAACCGGTGGGAATTCTGACTGACATGACAGTTGACGGTCTTGACACTTGGCATATTAGAAACAGTTTCCGCTCAGACCTTGACAACAGGGGTGGACAAATCGAAGTGTTTGGTGACAGTTCCATACGGCCTGTGGTTTTTTCTGATCATTTTTAAATCTCATCTGCAATTGATGCAATATGTGTTAAATTTTGCCATTTTTTATCTATAGAAGTTTTTAGGATTCAAAGGAATTATTGTGTAAGCAATTTCTTTGTAATCATGTTTTTATTTTCTGAATTTTCCAACGAGTATGTCCTTATATATGGTATTTGTATACCAGGTTCCAGACAAACACTTAACCTCCACTTACTATTAAGCTCAAGGATAACGTACATAATTGTACCAAATAAAAGTAATAAAAAGAATCAAAATACAATTAGCTGAATGCAGAATAAATAATATTAAGAAATATCGAGTTGAATTTCCTCATATTACTTTCCTAACACAACAATTAAATAGAAGCTAATATAATAAGCTGGTAAATATGGCCGCTACTTCCATTTTATTACGCTTACAAATCGCATTATACAGATACAAACAGCCTATAATTGATGACTTCGTCTCACCAATTGACGAGCGATTGAAGAAGAAAAGACGCTTTATTCAAACACTTTGTTGGCAACGAAATTCAAGGCCCATTCTCACAATACGATTAAGTCCGCTTGACAATTGTCAGTTGAGGATATGAGCTAATATTTTTGTTCTTTAACAATAGCTGCTGACAGCTTGTCATTCGCTTCGCCAAATTTAAACTGAATACTTTTGTCTCCGAGAAATTTCAAGCACGTCTTGATATAGAAATATCTGGAGGTCAGAGTCCGATTGTCCACACTGCACAAGAATGTCACCTGCTTTTTAAGTGGGTCATTCTTTTTAAATTTTCAAGAAATTGCCAGTGAGGATGGGTGATCATCTTTTTAATCTTTGGATATTAGAAAATTTTATCAAATTGCCAGTTAAGGAGATGGTTGTTCATCTTTAAAATCTTTAGATATTATAACAATTTTATTCTTTTCTAGAATCTGAATTTTCATTCTGTCAATATTTCGTTTCTATTTAGGAAAACCGATATTCAAGTCGATGTAAATGTGTACGTATGCCTTGAAAGCTATAATTATCGATTTATGTTAGAGCATACAAATGGTTAATGATAGAATATGGATACTATAATGCTATTAACACATCAATCGAGAGAACGATACCTCTTAATCTCTCTCATTTGTCAAATTTGTCAATTTTAATCGGTTTGGATTCAACGACCAACAACGTTTTCCGTTCAAATTCAGCAATAGAATCGAACCATTGTTGGCTATTTACAAGCATTTTAGTAAGAATATAGTCAAGAAATGGGATATTTAGCTTAATACTTATTTACAAAGATTAAGGTTAGATGCAGTGTAGGATAACTCTGGTATTGAATATACATATATTGTAAAATCAATACAATCTGCATGGCATATTATAACAGTATGGTTTCATGACGAAATGACATAATATTCTTGACAGAATATTCATTGCTTCATAGTGCAATTCTTTATCAATCTCTTTGTCACTTGTAACATTCTTAGGATTTTTTCCTTTTTTGTATGCAATGAAAGGAAAATATTGAAGCAACTTCGGGTATCCTAATATTTTAGTTGGGCAAATTTCAAACCAGTAAAAGAACGAAACGAAAATCTTGTTTTTTCTGTAGATTTCTTTCCTAAACCTTCAAGGAAATATTGAGACAACTGTGTATTACTATTTTTGGGGGTTAGATGAATTTTAAACCAGCTGTAAGACAAAACGAAACGAAAAATATTTCTTTTCTGAGGATGTCCATTTTTTCTAAACCTGCATCATTTTATAATAAAATTTTAGCACGTGTTCGCAATAAATTTAAAAAAATAAAGAATTAAAGAGAATTGTAAAACACCGACTGTTTGGGGGTTAACACGGTAAATTAATCAGGGACATTCTGTAAGAAGGGTTAAAACAAGAAGATCGGGGGTTGATGCACACCATTAATTTATAGCTAGTGTGAAATTGACAATGAAGAAATTATAAAATAGTAATGGATGAACAGAGATTTTAGAAGTTTTATGTCGGATTCAAAACGTCAAGGTGTGACACGTTTCACCTGGAAGCGGTAATGATCAAAGATCAAAAGATGCTAAGGTGAAGATGAAATTGAATTAACGATTCTAAACTGTGATAATCTGATTAGGGATGAATTAATTGATTAATTGTTTAATCTTATAAAGAGATAACTTTCTATGAAAGACCAGAAATATATTAACTTAAAGAGAATTTTATTTCCCAATACAATCTGAAGAAATATATAAATGATAAGGATTTTAAAATATGTTGGAAATAAAAAAAAGCGAAATCGACTCGTTTTCATTTAAGAATGAACAACGGAATAATTTGATTTGAATATTTAAGAAGCCTTGAAATAGTCATGTCATTCATGCAAAAATATATAACCATTTTCTCAACTAAAATTTAAAGAGCTATGTAGGAATATCAAGACCCATTCTGAGACTATAATGAACGAATCTATACACTCGAACTATATAAATAATCGTTTCTTTATACAAATTTTATTAGGTTTTATCATTCCACTTTTTTATTATTACCATTTATTGCGCATGCACCTGAGTATTTGAGTATTGAGAAGATAATCCCCTTGTCGATATATTGATTGTGCATCTAATTCTCTCGCAGTTTTCACTTTTATTATACCTTTAGAGTGGTTTTCAATTGAAAATTTTCCAACCACCTTATTCAATTAATCTAAACTTTGCGCTTCAGTTACGGTTATCTTAAAATATGGATCTTTATTATGGAAGTTTTATACATGAAAACGAAATAATTTTAAAGCCATTGTTGGATTGATGGAAAAGTCGTATTTTCTTGGCAATAAACTAATTAAATTAATGAAAAATGATAGAAATGAACTTGAAATGAAGGATTTGATAATGTTAAGATAAGAATGGGCGATTTCATTGACTAGTCCTGAACATGAAACGTGTTTATAAAAGGATAATTCAATAATTAATTCCATATATTTTCAGATTATCTTCAAAGACTTTTACGTCAACTACATCCTTGTACAGGGTAAAATTTATTGTACAAGATCGAATCAAAGGCGAAAGAATGGATGGATTAGCTAAATTCTTCTTATCGTAATTTGATTCGAATGGTATTGCAATCAGAACTTATGTAGAGCGAAATGTTCCTTTCTCAAATAATGCTTTAGTAATCCCAGACTAAATTTTTCGTATTTTAGCATGTACATTTTAAGAATATATTCTGATACGTTTAGAATATCTCAGCTATTCAGATGGTCGCACTTGTCCCAAGCTGAGGACAATGTAGTAATTGTGATTTGGTCCAACCTAAACCTACATTATGTGTGAATTATCAAATGTCTTTACAATTAGCATATTATTTGTAATATTTGATCTATAAACACAGACCAAGTTACCAGCAGGCAGATATTTGAAAACGGGCTTGGTTTGCCTTAGAAAATATGTTGATTCAATCATAAATACATGTGGTTGATAATTCATACTTTGCATTATGAAAATAGAAAATTCCCTGTACCCTAGCTGGAAGAAACACCATCAAACACGTGTTCAAGATTGATAACTCATCTAAACTCATTAAAATAATTTTGTTTATATTTTTAATGATGTAATTTACCCATAATCATTAGGCTTAATTACCTCGTTTTCACATTTAGTGTTTATATATCTATAACACGTGACATCTAAACCACTCTTCAATATTTTATCAAAGTTTATACGAAACTAAAATTTATTACTTTTGCAGCATTGGGGTTCAAATATTGTACACAACCGAATTTTGAAATTTTGTATACAAAATAATTGTGTACCCGACCGAAGTTTATAATTTTGTACGGGATCAAAATTAACAATTTTGTACGCAATCCTTTTGCAAGTTCGAATTGTGTTTCTTGTTTTTGGCATCTAATTGGGAACCAAGAATACATTTCTGCATCTTTTTTTAAAGTTTGAACAATGGTCTTGAAGGAAATAAACTGTTTGAATTTGTCAACAAGAAAGTTGACAACGATAACTACAAGGCTACCGTATCAGTTAATAGGAGAAATACGAAACGAATTAATTTGTCAGCAATAAACAATGGAGTATTTAATGGCAACAAGCCGGGAGTTAATGTTACATGCTGATGACCCCTGTAGTTTAGAGGCAGTTCGTGTTGTTTAGTTTAGTGTCTCTATCATCATTATCATTACTGGAAACTAATTGTTTACGTCACTATTTGATTCTGAAACTTACTTCAAGAATAAACGGGGTCTTAAATTTGGACTTTTTAAAGAATTCTGTTCTATTCTATTCTCCTTGCTTCAGAATCATGTTTGAATTCGATTGAATAGACACTTAATAGAATTTATTATTCATGTTTTTATGTATTTTAAGGGATCACAAAAAAAATTCTAGTTGTGTTTCCTTATAAACACTTATTAGATTTTTATCAAAACAAAATAACCGATTAGTCATAGGGAAAATCGCCTAATATGCAAAAGTTTTATTTTTGTATTTTCTTTCTTATTGTATCACTTTCTATCAAATAAGGAAAATTACTGTTAAAAATTGTGTATCGTTAAGGAAATCATTTTGAAAATTTTGTGATATTTAAGTGTGTGAAAAAATTGCATTGCAGATTTGACCACTTTAAAACATACTCTTTTTTTTATTATTAAATTATGATTTCTATTACATGTAGGTCTAATGTAATTTGGACTGCAAAGTATAATGTCAGGTTTGAGTCCATTGATGTTTGAATATCAAGTGAGGTCGATTTGCTTTTGATCCGTCAATTTTCAACTAAACATATCTTCACAATTTATAATAATAATAATAATAATATACGTTTTTTATCGTGCACCTTTCACATTTGTGTTCAAGTACACTCTACAAATCCTCACAATTTATGGCATAGGCCGACTCTTGGTTAATTTGCGATAAGATATTTTGTAAAAATAAAAGTTAGGAAAAACATAAATCTGTTGGACTATATAATTAGTTACCAATGCAAATTATAATTTTATAATAACCGGAATAAAGTGAACTAAGCAAAAATTTAAAATTGGGTCCAAAAAATATTTAAAATGTAAAGCTTAAGAAATTCAAAACAAAACACAAGAGAAAATAAAAATGTAGAAAATAATAAAACAGTGCATACCTGACTCGCCTTGTGGTCGCCACGGTTGAGGAAGAACACCAGGCCAGAATATAGGTTGTCTTCCAGGTAATTCGGCTATCTTTGGAAACTGAACTTGAGGACTAAGGTACATGCCAGCATTAAATCTAGGCATTCCCATACCGTTTAATGCTGCCCGTCGGTTTAAAATGTCTGTAATGCCGTGTGGCGTCGTTTGGGACGCTAACTGTTGCATATGTTTTAAGTTCTGTTCATATTCGGCACTCGACATTATCGACGACGATGCCGGGAATTTCATTTCTGTGAGATTATGTAAGGCTGCGAGTGGTGGACTGCTCAAAACAAATGTACTATTTCTCGAAGATGCCTCCATATTATTATTTAAAATATTGTTCATGGATGGGTTTCCCGACGGATAACCCGTGGCGTTTTCGTTCGAGCAGTAGTCCAACATGTTCGCAACGTCAAAATCACCCGCGTCCGTCAGCTTGAATTCTTTTACAGTTTCAGGCACCGTACAAAATTTTACTACAACGCTGTTTCAGATAGGAAAAAGGAAATATTTACGAATGTTCGTACACAATCCAAATGAAACACGATATATGTCACATGAATACGGTTTAAGTCCTGCACGGATATAAACAAGATAGTTTGAACTAATCAAGTCCGACACGAGAATATTACGGTTAAAGTCACACAAGAACTGTTCGTGGAATCTACACACAATAAAACCAATCCAATGACTTGACTTGTGTGTACTTTAAATGAAGATTATGAAATAATTTCCCAAGTGTGTGAGCTGTAAATATAGCCCAGTGAATCTGATACACTGAAGTATAGTTTGTAATAGACAATTCACGAGCTATCAATCATAACCTCACGCGCTCTTTATTGTGTTCATTTCCCACAAGGGGGCTGACCTCATGTACAAATCACGAGCAATGATTGGCTGTTCGTATGTCTATATTGACGCCTTGACATGTTAAGTGGAAGGCAATTGGTTCAGGAGATTTGTCGAGATTGGCAATAATGAAGTTAAAACGCATTAATTTCTCCATTTCTTTGGGTATTTTCTTAAATACAATTTATAGATGAAAATGGTCTGAATGGACCCAAAGTGATTATTCCTTCTCAAATATTTTTTATTGAGATTTTTTCTATTTAAAAAATATAAATACAATTTATCTTGTGCACGCTCCACAATTATATTTAGATTCTAGTCAATGAAACTTGCAATATTGGAACTATAGCCATCAATTTCAAAATTAATTGAACTCACCTATCAAAATCAGTTTTAGAATTTTGACTTCTCGTTCCTCTTTGAAATTATTTGAAGGTTTAGGTACATATCAATCATTAGAACAAAACTGATAGAATTTCGTGAAATTCAAATAGAAATCAAATTAGAATTATCAAATTAAATCTTGGTTTGAAATGATATCGTTATTTTGTATGTTGATTTTTTTTTCTAAATATTTATTAAAATAATATTTAATCTCGGTTTTAATCTGCAGAGTTTGGAAATTATATTTCGAATTTTTGTTTCCAGCCCTTGGATATGACTTGTTCAGAAACAATAATGATTTGTTCCATTTCTTGAAAAATTGCAAAATTTTCATAAAAAGATAAACGAAATTTGGGGAGAAATTGAGAAAAAATGCGGAGGAAATATTGAGTCTGAACTAAATTAAATAAACGAGAAGGCTTCTTAACATGTGCATTAATTTCTGCCGATTATTTGAGAAATCTTACCCCCTTTATTTTGAAGATGTCAAATTAAACATGATAAATGGATGTTTAATTCAAATAATACATATTAAAAGACGGGAGTAATTCCAATAAGAAGAATGTCTTTCACTAGTTTTTCTGTTTCCATGGAAACTGGTTTATCTCGGGTCGGATGTTGAGACTAAATGAATAAAGTGAATGATATTACGAATTGAATATTAAGAAAAAGTGAGACTCACACCTCCCAGAATACTGCCTTTGAAAACCGCCATTGTTAAACTGTCAATAAAGGGACATAAATCGTCATTAAAGTCAATCTGTTGGTGATGGTCTCTTGTTCACATTTCTCTATTAAAATACGAGTGGCGGTCATTAAAAAAAGCCCAATACAAATAACTTGAGAAATTTTTACATCAACATAATGTCTACCCATTGATAATATTTCAAAATTTTATTGAGTAAATATTAACAATTATTATATATTATTCTATAAACTATCTGACAGGGATGACATGAGACATTTTGGTCATCGCTTAAGACTTATTCTTTTATAAACTGAAACTTTGTTCCATTGTCCTAGCGGTTTGTTCTATTTCGTAAAGAATTTAGTAGATAAGATAAGATCGAAGAAATTATTTTTTCAGCGTTTTAATTTTTCAATCTTGATAAAATCACCCAAACTAAAAAAAAATTATCATTTATCATTTTCACATCGTTATAATCATGTTCTGTCCATCATAGTAGCTAATGATACTGTCACGTCTTTCTCGATGAACATTTGGTTGTCTTTGGGGTACTGTTGATACATGCAATAGCTTATCATAAATATAGCCTGTTTTTCAAGAATTCCATGCCACGAACAGGATCTGAAATTGAGAAAATGACCAGAAAATTACCAGCTTTGAAGAGAAGTAAATATTAGTTAATTAATTATTAAACATTTGTTTGACTACAAAGCATGATATAAAAAAATATTTAGAAATACATATTATATATATAGAATCCATATTGACTGTTTTGATGTTATAAAAAATACAACTGGTCGCTGATTCTTACTTTATCTGCTTGACTTTTCGTTCATGCCAAAGAGCCAGGATAGTTATTTCACCTCATTGACATTTTCGTGTTTTTAACCTGGTGGTAGGTTAGGAAGCCTGGTTTTGATAGGCATGGGTCAGCTTTTTTCTTGTGGAATAACATGCAGCATGTCTGGGACATTACAGATGTAAATTAGAAGTGGGTATAAATCGATTCAAGAATAAAGGAAACATGAAAGGCTGTAGAGAAAATTAATGGTATGATTTAATATCCACGATTAAACCAATACGATTTTAATTGTTGTATTAATGTATGAATATATGAGATATTGGTATATATAATGTGTCTTGGACTAATTATTAATCAATATCGTTTATACGCTTATAACATTAATATGGCTTTATAGCGACACCTTGCTGTACACCGCTGTCGTAAAGGTCCACGAGGAAATTCAGATCGACGTTAAAATATGATTAACATTTAGGAATTTCCTAGTTTTGCTGGGCTTTAAAATATAAAACGAACTAAGAAGTATTTTTGGTGTTAATATTTTTTTCTTGCTGAAAAAAGTTTGAAGAATTATCAGAAAAAAATAGAATAGAATAGAATTTAAAAGCAAATATTTCTTTCAGATACTTCATCCTAATCCTCATTGATGAAGGACCATGACAAGCAGCCTTTTGGCCATTACTGATAATGTGGAGGTGGACCTTTAAATTTGAAATTTCTTATAGAAATACAAATTGATGTAAACAAATTTATGTATGAAAAGGAGAATAAAATTGTCACCTACAATATGTTGAATATTGAGTATTTAGTCAACAAAGCGATTACAATAGCCTGGACAATGTTGACATCTTGTTTTATAAACCCTTGGATTAGGTCGTCAGCTGGCTTCGTCAATTCAATTTTAATATGTTCGTACAAATTGTGTGAATGTTGTCGATGATATTAGTAAACGACAATAAATAAATTGAAATTCATAGCCCGATTAAACATGTGTTTGTTGATGTATTTCTACGTTTATGAACACCACAGATTGTTTAAATTTCGTTAAATTGAAAGGATAAGAAACAAAAATGTCTTCCAAAATATTTGAAAATGTAAGACTACCAACAGCACATTCTTGATTTATACTTTCAAAGATTTGGAGATTTTGTTCTTTTCTTGTATTTTATCATCTAGGCAGTGTCTTTCTTTTACATACAATAATAACGTAGTCAAGATATTCAAAAATGGATCTCGATTTCTTTTTGAAATTTTATCTCATCGTAACTAACTTCTTGGACATTTTAAACAAATTAAATTATTAGTTTATCTCTTTTAATGCTTTTTAGCAACACGGAAAATTTTGAAATATCTGTTTCTTGAATCCATTAACCTTATTAGAAAGTGTAAACTATTGTCTTTAACTAGATGTAGGAACATATTTCATTATTGAAAAATATTAATAAAAATCCACGTTGATGGTCATTATAGAACGTTTAAGGATTAGAACTAAAGGCAAGAAATGGTCAATTGCTCGTTATCTCGGAGTCCAAACGGCGATATTGATAAATTTGTCATATTTAAAATGTATTTTAGACCACCATGTTGGCTAACATCTGTTTACTGTATTAATATCTTGATAAACAATCATATCTTTACACAAATAGACGACTAGCTTGTCAACTTCATATTAACACCAATATCAGACCATCAATAATATTCTTGAACTTTATAACCAAAACATATATTCAAATACGTAAATACATTAGGAATGCCTTTACCAACATTACCTATGTAATGTTAAAGATATTCACGACCATAAATTTTAAAATTATGTTTATTTTTACATACGGAAATGTCTTTGAATTTACAAACTTATTTTCCTTCAGTTTGAGAACTTTTTAAAGAAATTGTAAAATTGTTTCATTACCGCATGTCTTTAAACTGATTTTTTATTGAATTTCTTTTATGAAATTGGCCATATTTTTTTTATAGTTTATCTTTAAATTCAAAAATTCTATTTTATCACAAAGAGTTTTGAGGTTCAATGAGAGTGTACACATCTTTGCATACAAAATGTTCGCCCTTGATATTAGTATTATTAAAATATTTTGGCCTAGATTTCTACAGTAAACAACCTGAAACTGAATTTGAGCAGTTGAATCTTTACCCTTACTGAACACTCTACGACCCCTCCAGAGAGTCTACATGGTTAATACTATCAATGTTTATATTCGAGTATTCAAATAATTCACACATTTCAAGATTTTTCTACATACAATAATATTACTGTGAAATTTCAATTCATTTAAAAAATAAAAAAAAAATAATGTGATATAAAGCTGATAACAGCGTGTTTGAATGAGAAAATTTCTCTCGAAAAATTAAATCATAGTGATGGAGATATCAGACATTTTCTGGTAAATTCATTTTCAATTCAATGCAGTTGACATTTATGAAGAGTTTGACACAAATATAAGTTAGCTGAGCAAATAAGATATCATACTGTGTAATAAGCAGTATCTCGATGGGGCACCTGTTATAATTAGCCTAATGTTAATTAATATATAAAGATGTATTGATGATTACTAAATGATGAGAGGTTCTAAAACACTTCAT